CAGCCGGCTCTGCCTATCTGGAGGCAGAGCCAGCTGTACCCGCCCCGTCCGTTCCGCCAGTCAGCGCTGGAGGATCTGACAGGGGAGGGGGGAATCCCTGCAGGGAGCCGTGAGTGACAGTCACGGCTCTCTGCAGGGACAGGATCAAGAAGTGAGCGAGCGACGGTATGTGTTCGCTCACTTCCCGTTCTATTGAGCCGGCATGCGAGTTTCATTGTCACACGTCTGCTCGAACTATGAGGCTGAGTGATTTTCACTCGCCTCACAGTTCTCCTTTAAAATGCCTGTCAGCTAAAAAGTTTTTAAATGAAAAAAAAATAAAAAATACAGCATTTGGGATTTTGTAATGCAGTAATGAACCCAGACAAAACATTTCCCTATTAAAGGCTTTTTAACGTAAATGCAAGTCAAACCATACCTGTCCAACACTCTGCAGAGCCTTAAGGTCATTTTCTGATTTTTCATATTGTTTGGTGAGTTCTTTCAGTTGCTCCCTTACTGGAAAACAAAACGAATGTTATTAATGTGTGAAAACATGAATGTCATTTAAATATGGAAATGTAGTTGGTAAAGCAATGTCCTAGATCCTCAGATGCACCAAAGCAATATCCGAGTGACCACAGGCACTACAATCCCTGCTTAGACATAGGAGGTAACACTTGCTCAAATGAGTTTGTTTTAAAAGAATGGAGATGAGGACAGCGGCACAAGCAGATGTTGTACCATAGACAGGATACTATCACCCAGTTCAGCTGAAAGGAGATTACGTATATCATATGCACAGTTATATGGGTAGCTGTAGGGCCTGTGTCAACTTGCTTTTGCTTTCCCATACAAGATATATATTTTGCCTTAAAGTGACAAAGTCAATTTTCTGTCCCCCCATCACCCAATGTTAAGTAAAACACTTACCTTAAATGTTTTCTCTTAATCCGATCATCTTTCCTGTCCTTTTTTTCTGCCTTCTCTCCAGCGCTGCGCGGCTCTCCGATCCAACGCTGACTCCTCTCTGCTTGCTTGCACTTCCTGTCCCATGGTGTCTGCATGCGGGTGCACGCGCCCATAGACTTACCTTGCGTCTCTCCTTGTCTCCCAGCCGAAGATCTGAACTGCGCATGCGCCCGCCCCAAGATGCTATGCGGCCACTTGAGCAGTTTCGGATTTTCAGACGGGAGCGTGCGGCAAAGACAGGGGTAAGTTTAAATCGCTTTAAAAAAACAAAAACTTTTTTCATATATCTACTGCTTGCTAGCCGTAGATATATGCAAAAAAGACTGAGGGTTTAGAAACACTTTAAGTGATAGAGAGATGCCACCTTCAGGCCTAAAATGGACTACAAACTGCTGAGTCATGTCACAGGCAGACTGTCCACGAGCAGCATTGCCATACAGAACAGTGCTGTACATCTGATATTTACCCAGATCTTTAAAATAACAACAAACACACCTTTAGAAACGTTTAGTAATGACAATCTATAAAACACATTTATTAGAGGTGTTCAGATACAAAGTACCGTACTCTGTACAAGTACAGATACTTTTCCAGCACCAAGAAAATTATTAAAGTGACATTAAACCCTCATTTTTTAACATACACCAATACTGTAATGTGTGCCTTACAGTAACCCATGGTAGTTTCCATTCTCTTTGCTGCTCTTCCTTTTAAATCCTCATGTCTTCTCATGCTTGGGGAGAACTTCCCTTTGCAGCTGAGTGCCTCTTCCTGTAGTGCTGGCTCAGGTTACAAACCTATACACAGACACCGTGTATCCATTCCTGAGACAAGGCGGTCTGCTGCAAAACAGAAGTTCTCCCCCAGCATGAGAAAAGAGACGGATTTAAAAGGAAGAGCAGCAAAGAGAAGGGAAACTACCATGGATTACAGTAAGGCGCACATTACAGTATTGTTTTATGTTAAAAAATCTGAGGGTTTAATGTCACTTTAAGTTAGGAGGCAGCTGTCATTTGTAAGGAGCACACGGAGCTCCTGTAATTTGTACATCTCTGTTTTAATATAGGATTTTGTTTTTATAAATATAAATGGATGCACTGATACCATTTTCACAAAACAAGTACTGATACATTTTTGTTTATAGTCATGTGACAATTTTCCTAAAACAATACAGACTAATGATTTCAGGACAGTAGTGGAGTGCCAGACCCAGGTCCCAGCTGCAACCCTGGTAGTTCTCATGAAAATGGCAAGTATCGGCACTGGTATCTGAACATCCCTAATATTTATAGATAATTGCCGGCTTTGTATTCTTTGCATTCCTTATTTCTCTTTTCTTCCCCAGTCTTCGGACAGTGGCCATGTTTACTAAGAGCAGATTACTAGCTCTCCTATTACTTCCTGGATTTCCAGCACAGGAAAGCAAAGGGTAGATCTAAAGTGTGTCATCACCAGAACAGGAA